TGCTGAAAACTAGGACCTGGGAGGGGAAGATTAAGAATAATAATATGAATGACAAAAGTATTAATAATATTAGTTGGTTTAAAACAGACAAATACAAGGAAACTAATCACCAGAAAAAAAGAAAGCGAGAAAGAAAAAAAAATAAAAAAAGAGAAAAAAAAATTGTTGGAGGACAGGGCAGGGCACCCAGTGTCCGTCTGAGCACACAGACTGTGATGGAGTTCCTGTTGGCCCAGAAGGTAGGTGGGAGTAGGAGATGGCGTCATCTCTGTTCACCAGCCAGGTGTGGGGTTTAAGAGTAACCAGAGGAATGTTGCACCTTTTCAGCCTTGCGGGTCCTGAGTGTCCTTGGCATTGCTGGAAAGCAGAACGTGTTCTGAAGCCCTAGGAATCCTCGAGAGCGCTGTCTGTTTAAGTATTCAAAATAGTCAAGCCGCTTTTTAAACCTTCAAAATGGCGGCGCTCTGTGGACCGGCAAAAGTCCACATCTCAGCCCACCTTTCTCTTCACCTTCTCTGATTGTTGCCCAACCACTGTGCACAGTCCTCCATGCAGTCTCTGGCTAGTAGGGTGATTTTTAGGTCAATTTTTAGGTCCTACCACCACTTGGGAATCTCCAAGCTGCCTGTACCATCAGGATCGCTGCCAGACCGCATCTCTGTCTGTCTCCTTTTTGGTATTTTCTCGCAAATTCTTCTGCTAGTTGTGTTTTAGTCCACTTCTATATCCTTCCCTTCAAGGCTCAGGGGTGCAGGATCATCTTCTGTGTCTGTGTTAATAGGTTTCTCTTTTCTTTGTTGAAGAGGGTCTGTGCAGTCTTTCTGCCTAGTCTGCCATCTTGCTGGATCTCACCCAGTCAAATGTCTTGTTTTACAGCTAATCTAGAATATATATTAGTGACCTGTTGTTCTAATACTGGCTTTGCATTATCATCCTTGGCAAGACATTTTATCTGTCTGGATCTCAATTTCCTTATCCATAAATTGAGGATAACAGGGCTTCATTTGTACTTGTGCAGTGGAGGGAGCTCTGGTGGCGTGGTGCCTAAGGCATTTGACTGGTAACCAGAAGGCTTGTGCTTTCAACCCACCAGCACTCCTTGGAGGGAAGGTTGGGCAATTTACTTCTGTGAAGATACCTCGAAAACCCAGGGAGGGGTCACTGTGAGTCAAATCGACTTGATGGCATGGAGTTTGGTTTTTTTGGTTAGTAGTCAAGTGCCTTAGGCACTATGCTACCAGAGCTCCCTAATGTATATAAGGAGGTGGGTTGTAATAATAACTACAACAATAGGCTCAAGCATAGCACTGATTGTGAGGATGGTGTGGGTGTGGGCAGTATTTTATTTTATTGTTCAGAAGTTCAGTATATTTAGGAATAGACTCAACGCCACCTCCCAACAACAATAGCGTATATAGTTATCTAGCCGTGCTGTCTTGGGGTGGTATCTAGGCTCTAGTTTAAAATAGTGACCTATGTTCTGGTATTAGGTTTACAAAAGACAGGTCATTTGACCTATCTGGATCTTAGTTTTCTCATCTGTAAAATGAATTAGTTTCAGTTAGTGATTTTAAACCAAATTTGCATATCAGGGTCATCTGAAGAACCCCAGAAAATCTTATTCAATTGATTTGGCAGAAATGTCAAAGTATGTGTATTTCTACAAAGCTCCAAAAATAATTTCATGCATGTATCTGTTAAGAGTTATTGAATTAGGTGATCTCTATGATCTTTCTGTGATAAAATTCTATGATAAATGACCTCTTAATGCATGTGGCTCATAATCGTAAGTAATTTCATATATCAAAACTCACTGCCATTGAATTGATTTGACTCATAGTGACCCCTCCTTTGGTTTCCAAGGCTGTATCTTTATGGGAGTAGATTGCCCAGTCTTCCAAGGAGTGGCTGATGGGTTTGAACTGCCAGCCTTCTGGTTAACAGTCAAATGCCTTAGGCACTACGCCACCTTAGCTCCCTATTTCATAAGGCATTTGACTTATTGTTGTTGTTATGTGCCATCGAGTTGGACTTGATTCATAGCGACCCTTCCTTGGGTTTCCAAGGCAACATCACTACGGAAGTAGCTTGCCCAACTTTCCTTCCAAGGAGTTGCTGGTGAATTTGAACCACCAGCCTTCTGGTTAGCAGTCAAGCGCCTTAGGCACTATGCTACCAGAGCTCATATATAGTACTTTTAAAACTATCAAGAATGATAAGAATGTTGTAGATCAAGTGTCAGCAAACAACAGCATACGAGTTGGCTGGCTATTTTTGTAAACACAATTTTATTGAAATTCAGTCATGCCAATGTTTTTATGTATTATCTGTGCCATCTTTCAAGTTACAGTCGTGAAATTGAGTAGTTGTGACAAGAGACCATGGTCCACAAGGCTGAGCCCTATAAGCAAAAGTTTGCCAATACGCATGTCAGAATTTTATACTGATTCAAGTCCAGTTGTCCTTCAGCGTGAATGGTTAAACACTGTGGTATACACATACCGTAGAACAGTACTCAGCAATAAAAAAAAAAAGGAACTATTGATACATGCAAAAGCTTGGGTGAATTTCTGGAGAATTATGCTGAGTGAATAAAGCCACTGCAGAAGGTTACATACTGTATAATACTATTTATATAATATTTTTCAAATGACAAAATTTCAGAAAATAGGTGACAGTGTAGTGGTTAGGAGTGAGACAGAGAGGTTAGGTTCAATGAGGCAGGGAAGTTGGTGTGGTTCTGAAAGGGCAACAGAAAGATCTTTGTGGTGATGGAACTGTTCAGTGTCTTAACTGGTAGGGGACATATAAACCTACACGTATATAAAATTGTATAGAACTAAATACATACATATACACACATATACGAGTACAGGTAAAGCTGGAGAAGTCTGAATAATAAGCTTGTTGTCCCTATCTTGGTTGTGATTTTGTACTATAGTTTTTCAAATGTTATAGTTGGAGGAAACTGGATGAAGTATACAAGGGATCTCTCTGTATTATTTCTTACAACTGCATGTGAATCTACAATTATCTTTATAATTGTTAATTATAAATTTTATATTCATTCATAAGCTTCTGTTAAAATTAATAATACTGAATTAAAATTATACTTTGAGAACTTATATGGAAGAGTATGTTCCTAGGAAATGTTAACGCTTGTGACTGTGAAGTATCTTAAAAGGAAAATTTCAGGATTTACTAGATTTGTTTGAAAAATGTTCTCATTGAGATACCCATCCCACCTATTGCCATTGAGTTGATTCTGATTCATAGTGACCCCCATTGGGTTTCCAAGACTGTAAATCTTTATGGAAGTAGATTACCTTATCTTCCTCCTGTGGAGCAGCTGGTGGATTTGAACTGCCAACCTTCTAGTTAGCAGCCAAATGCCTCACCCACTACGCTACCAGAGGTCCTTTGTTGAGAGAGTAGTGTCTAAAACAATCTTAGACATGGCCATTCAATCAAAGAATATTATTAATGTAGATAATGACATACTACTTCACATACTTGGTTAGGAAATGCTGGATCATCATGTACTTGTGTTTTCTTCAAATAGTAAAGGTTATCTTTTTCCCACTAAGTAAATCAACATAACGTTCCATAATAACTACCAAAAAACCCAAACCACTGCCATTGAGTTTGGTTCTGACTCATGACAATAAGGAGAGATGAAATTTTCAAAGTAGATGGTAGCATAAATAACCAGTATCTTTTGGAAGTGAAATGTTACATTTTTCCTTCTTTCCATCTCATTAGGGCACTTGACATTAATTTGGAGCCAGGCCAGAATGTACTGGAAATTGTACAAGGCTGTTTTGAAGAAAAAAGTAAGGCTTTGTTTTTATATGGTCTTTGATAGTTGAAATTGATAAAATATAAATTTTTTATATTAATATTAAATACAAAAAATATGTTCTAGTATTGAAACATATATAAAATGTTTTTCTAAAGATTTTGAATACATATACAACCCCTCATGTACCTTTGTCTATTTTCTAGTATACTTGATAGTACTGGCAAAATTGTCATCCCTTTTAGTTCATACTGAATTATTGTAGGCTGGGTCCTTAAATAATTATGCAAAAGAGAAAATATGTCAAATAGAAACAAATGTGCATAGTCCTTGGAATGACTGGAGAGTTGAAATAATTTTTGGCGATTTTCATTCCTTTCTAAGGAAATGGTGAATTACGGAAAAAGTGCTGGTCAGCATTATAAAGTGTTAGAACAGGAGACCAAAGAAATAAGGATTGATGATGGAAGAGCATCTCTTCTGTAAAATCTCTGAAAGAAGAGTGGTATATATTTCTTCCAGAGTCGTCTTTGCTTTTTCCATTTCTTGAGGCCTTCTAAGAACATTGGAATATTGAATTGATGTTTGTGTTTCAAATGTGTTGAAAGAATGAACAGACTTCTTCACATGTCATATAGGGCTATTCTTAATTATAACCAGTAGACTTAACACCATATCTCATGCTTTAAAATTTATTTTCTTTTAGGTCTTGCCAATGATTTTAGCACAGATTCTACAAATGTGGTGCTTCATTCAACCCCCAAAATAAAGGACACATGTATTCAATTAGCAAGTGAAGAGGTGAGTCAAAAGAGGGGAACTGATAAGTTTAATATTTTAATGAATGACACTGTATATACAGTGTGGTTAGATATGTTTTAGTTGTCTGTAACCCTTCTTCTTAAAAGAGAATCCTGTGCTTCCACTGACAAAAGTTTGGAGGAATTATATGAAAAAAATTTGGTTTGAGGATTTACTGTATTTGAAATTGAGAGTCTGGGAATTAGAATTTTCTGGGAATTAGAATTTTTAACATGATCATTTTCCACTTTTCTTAAAATGGTACTATGTAGGCTTGGTTCTTTGGAGGAGCAAGACCAGTGAAATATACATGTGTGTTGTTATTGTTATATGCTGTCGAGTTGGACCCGACTCATAGCAACCCCTCCTTGGGTTTTCAAGGCAGTATCACTAAGGAAGTAGATTGCCCCATCTTCCTTCCGAGGAGTGGCTGGTGGGTTTAAACCGCCAGCCTTCTGGTTAGCAGTCAAGTGCCTTAGGCACTATGCTACCAGA